TGTCATTCATAGTTGAGGTATACCTATGATGAAAATTACAGGCCTCTCTCATCTTTTTAAATGGGAGAACTTGCACAATTGGTGGCTGACTAAATACTTTTTTGCCCCACTGTAATTTCATTTATAAAAGGTTTAAGTATATTTCATCTTTGTTTCATCTCATTTGCCTTTATTAGAGCATTTCTGCAATCACTCGAGTATTCTTAGCTGTAAATTTTGTGACTTCTCTAATCTTAAAAACATGCTCTTTTTTCTCAATATTTTCCTGTATTTGTGGACATTCTGGAGATCCTCCCTTGTTCTTTCTTGCTTGACATATTGGATGTCTGCTCTAAGTCATCATGAATCCTTCTTGCTGTCCACAGCTTCATCTTTTCTTTCTTTGTCAGTTGATTAAATTACATTCCCTTGAAGACTTAAGTTCATAGTTTGGGTATACTGTATTTGCATACTTAAGGCTAATGTGACTCCTCTGATTGTTTCTGAGGATGCCAGCAATTACATTCTGTTAGAATTGCTGGAACTTGCTTATCCTACACCTGGCTTGAACAGAAGCTTCAGCTGCTCCAGATTGCTGATAGGGGATGGTCATAGGAAGCCTGTGCCTCCTATTTACAGCAGTTTCATTGATTATTAGCTACTAATGTTTCCTGATTCAGGTGAAAGTTCTAGTTGTGCCATCTTAAGCCATAGACATACAAGTTCTCCCATAATTTACCTCTCCATCCCTCTCACATTCTGGTAATCAGAGAAATATCTTAATTTTTGTTTATTATTGCATGTTATGGTGTTGACTACTAGGGCTCTGCAGCAATCCAGCTATGAAAGGAGGTGATTCAGAGCATGTGTGGGCATACATGGGCACCTATGAGCACCTCTTGAAACTTTTTGTACCATGTGAGCCCAGGAAAAGACAATTACCTTTTCCCCTTTGAATATGAATCACAGCATGATCCTGGATACTATATTTGGGCAAGGTTTTGATACTAAGCTGATTTGTCAGCTAAAAGTGAGCTCTGTTTCCTACCCTTGGTGATACATTGTTAACTGTATACTTAGGTGGTTTCCTTTTGTTTGTCAGCCAACTTCAGCACTATTTATAGTTAAAAGTCAGGATGTTAATTAAATAATCTTCTACAACCAATAAATAACGGAAATGACTGTAACTGTCAGCGGCTGCTAGAAACTACTTTATTTCTGTGCTTGTCTTCAGTAGGTACTCAAGGAACTTTTTTTTTTGTTTCTTAGCTTAGCATCAGCCAGCTTCCTGCCCAAATATTTCAGTTCTAAATGGAGTTTTTCCAAGTTTCAAGTTCCTTCAGGTTCTCCGTGCATCTGTGCCTTTGGAACAGAGCCAAATTCTGTCTTAGGTAAGAGTCCTAATATATTGCAGAGTAAAGTCTGAGATTTCAGTACAAAAATAGCCACATGAACTATCAAGCAGCTGGGGTGGAATAAGCCATGCAATAAAATGGAGGTCAGTATAAGTAATAATAATTTAACTTGATGCTTGCTTATGCTTGATGTTGATGTGTCCCTCTTCTTAACACCTTACACTACAAACGTGTGTTTTCTGTAATTGTTTTCATAGTGACATGACAATTGCCCACTTGAAAAGCCTCTCTCTCTCTCTTTTCCTAGCAATCTGTGCAGATGGCAGCTACTACAAATTTTTATTCAATCAAAAAGGGGAATGTTCCAGGGATGTCTACGCTCAGTTCCTAGAAATGACTGATGACAAACTTTGACTGGACTGATGGAAGTATGGTTGGGGGGAGGTTATCAGAATCCCCTTCCCAATTCTATTGAAGAGACAACCTCTGACTTGCTAAGTTGATGGCGCTGTTCAAGATGGGATTGATCTGGTCAACAATTGGAACAAGGCAAAGGACTAATGTTAGCTCTCCACAGTTGGTTTTAAGTGTTACTTTTGGCAGCTGCTGTTCTTTTCCTCCTCAAGTTTCAATATGAGGGTTCTCCCTGTTAAATATCATGAAACTTAGTACCTGCCGCGTCATAAAGTTGAAAAGTTACTAGAGTTTTGATCAGTTGAAGACTGTTCAGATTACAGCAGGCAACCTAATAGATATTTTGGAGTGTTGAAAATGGCGTACCAGTCATTTATAGCAGCAGCTTTTGCCTTTACATATATTGTTTCCTCCTAATTCCCAGAAAGAAACTGTAGCAAAGTTGCTCTGAGTTGCAATTACTGAAAAATAGAACAATCAAGTCTGTTTCCATATTGCTGTGAATAGGTATTATTCATGTCATGTATCAGAGGTGCCAAATATTCTATAGCAACCAACATCAAGTGCTGTTAACTCAAGTGATTCTATCAGGTAAGAAGTGAGTGCCAATGGAAAGGGCTTATAAGGCTGTGTTGTCTCTATCTAGTATGTAATCATTCCACACTACTAAAATCTAGTCCCTTGTGTTCTGGTACTTAAGTTGGGGAAGAAAAGGATTAATAACAGCTCTCTGTGATAAGCAGCAGATGCTAGACTCTGCTTCTATAGCCTCCAAGATTTATGTATTCAGAACACACTAAATTGCTGCCTCTTATAAGGGATAAAGAAGGGACATACCTAAATTTTCAAAACACTTGAAATACAGGTATGTGAACACTTAATTTTAAATTACCATCACCTTACAGCACAGCTTCAATTATTAAATTCCTTCATTTACACACACGCTTCAAAATTTATTGAAGGCTCAGTACATTCAGCTGTAAAGTATCCAAACTTTTCACTTAATTAAAACCTATACTCAAATGTGGGTTTGCATGTTGCTTTTAAATGTGTACTTAATCATGAAATTATTTTGCACATCTTTTGTAATATTCTTTAATTAAAAGTGACTAATTTACTGTATTCGGTTAATGGTAGCAAATTAGAAGCTTGTTTTACTTTTCTTACTCTTAACTTTTGTAAAATGTGTTATGTTGCCTGAGAGATTCCAATCCTGTCAGCCATCTTTTGAAGTTTGCTTCCAGCTCCACTCAGTACCCAAGATTCAGACCTCCCAAAATGTGTAGGAAGAACCTCTTCTCTCTCTCACCCTTCATTAAAAACCTGCAGTCTCTCCTTGCTCTAGGTCTGACAGAATGCAAGAAATACAAACCTCACTTTTTCTACATGGGGATTTTATTTAATGAATTAGCAGATTCATCTTGAAAGTAATAGTCTGCTCATACTTTGATGTTAGGCTTAGTAGTAATGCTGTATTTAATCGAAGTAATATCTGATGATTTCAGATCTCAGAGGGAAGGAATATGCTCTAGAGGTAAACAAGTGTTAATGTGCTGGATTGAAAGCTGTCTGAAGTTCAACTTCAAGGTGTTATTTTCCACATTCAACACTGCAATCAGTACTGGTTTGTAAATACATGCTATTTATTTTAGAGGTAGTGTATTCGTGACATGCTAAGCCAGGTTTAGCTGCAACTATCTCACCAAATGATATGGCAAACTCAGCCAGCTACCACTCGTTTTGTGACTTTTTGAAAGAGTGGGGTGGCCTAAAGGAGAATTGAGCCTCCCCCAACCTTGGTATCCCCAATTTACCCCCTGCCATCTACGGACTGAGACTAGAACTAAGAAAAACTGCAGGGTTTCCTCTTGCATCCACTCCTGTTTTGCTATTTAGAAGTCGTAAGACAGTTAACGTGGTTATTGCTTTTTATTGTATTGTAATCAGAATTATGTTGTTTGCATCCCAGAATCCATATTGATGGGGGAGGGCTTTTAAACTTTAAATACAAGCACTGCTGTTTAGATGACAGAGCCATTCAATTAACTAGATTTAAACTATGAATATATATTCATATCTGTATCAAATATTAAAATAATCCAGTGTAACTATAGTGTAACCTATTGCCCAGGTTTAGATGTCACACTAACAATATGTGGTTTAAATTCTCAAACTACCTTTGCCACTTTTTTCTACATTTTTACTAAAATTTACACATCCAATTTAAATAAAACTAATATATAAAGTATAGAAGCTGTTCATGAATGCTTGTGCTCATGTGGCCTGAGGTCCCTAAGAGCCAGACCAACTTCAGGCCACTTTAAGCCCAACAATGTTCAGACATATGTCAAGCCATTCTGCCTGGTTCATAATAATCCATGCACTAACATGTCTCCATTCTTTCCACCTCTTTAACTATGCTCCTAGGCTGTCCTAAAATTATATTGGCTGAACTTAGAATAATTGCCATTTGTGATCAATGCTGATTATATATTCTGTTTTGTGCTTAAATGGAAATAGTGATTTGGGGAGAGGAGACAAGATAGTGGTACTCATGTTCACCAGGTAGAATGACTTAATATCTGAATATGCTAGTCACTGGGTTCGTATCATTACATTAAACCATAGTATGGTTTGTTTTGTGTTTTAGCATATGTGAACCCATCCAATTGTGATTTATTCAGACAATTCCACCTGCCTGAACCACTGAGAGATTTGTGATCAAATCTGTGTGTTTAATGAATGTAACAGATAAAGGCTTAAATCTTTCACTCACTGCTTCCTCCAATAAAATTTTCCCCTAAGAGTGAGATGCCGCTCCTACTGGGTCTTGTCTAGTTGGTTTTGCAATGTAACAATAACTTACAGTAAATGGCATATATATTTATGGGCACTAATTCATATTGTATCAGGACCCATAAGGGAGCAAAGGGACACAAATGACAAAACTTGCATGCTATCATCAGGCAAACACCAAGACTTATGCATTTATCAAACATCAGAATGCAAGAACATAATTGTGACATCATATAAATTGTCAGCATGTGCATGTCTATTGCTATGGACATTAATGCACTGTTAGGCTAGATTTCATGCTTTGTAATGATCCATAATGGAATTTTATTTGGTTTTAGTTTAAAATACTGTACAAACCCAACTACTAGTTCCTTAGCTGCTGTGTCACTGTAAAGAAAAAAATGGTTACAGTAACTATATAGAGAAGATTAATTCAGCAATTCTAGTAAGATTTTTTTTTTCTTTGTGCCTTTGAATCAGTCTTGACTTCTGGCGACTGCCTAGACAACTCTCTGCTGTTTTCTTGGCAACATTTTCAGAAGTGGTTTGCCACTGCTGCCTTCTTCCTAGGGCTGAAAGAGAGTGACTGGCCCAAAGTCACCCAGCTGGCTTCATGCCTAAGGTGGGACCAGAACTCATGTTCTCCCAGTTTCTAGCCTGGTGCCAAACTGGCTGTTATAGGAGGATTCAGCAATATGAATTATTCCAAAGCACACATGCTATAGGTATATGCTAAATGGGCTAAGCAATGCAATTGTATTGCATTTGGGGGGGGGGGTACATGTCATGAAATATAGCTGTTAAAAAGTAAAGTCTCCCTGAAGTTGAATTCAGCTCTTGGTGACTGCATAGCCAGGTTAATGTTTTCTTGGCAAGAGTAAGTGGTCTGCCATCACCTTCCAAGTTTTTCGATGTCTCGGTGGAATCTATAATTCTGGGATTTTTTAATGATATCTAAGTACAAGGTCTGACACTACTTAGCTTTTTTTGAAATCATCACCGAGAAATCTAATAGCTGATGCTACACCTGCTGTTTCTTCAGATGAATAAGCTACTGCTGACACACTACCAATAAAAGATCAGATTACTTCATCTATGAAATTGGAGCTTTAGATCTAATTGTCCTAGTATTTAGAGACAACTAAAATTGGTATCTCTATCGTTTAAAATGAACTTAATTAGCAATGTCCTCAAGTTTAGGTCATCTAGAAATCAACAGAAAGCAACAAGTTCAGTAATTCATGGTGCAATCAATCGATAATACAGTGGTTCTTAAACTGCTTGACCCAATTACTCCTTTTCCTGTTCTCGAATGATTACCCCCCACAAAAACCCCAAACTCTGTTGTCTTACATAAATATCTGGTGGCGGCAGCTCCAAACTGGATCCTCAACTCACAACTGGTTCTTGATTCTTATTTTCAGGTTTTCTACTTTTTCATTATTGTACAAGCTTTTAAGAATTACATATACTTTTTACTGTATCACTACCTAATTTTAAATCTTTGTGTTTCCTGGAAAAAAAAACAGCAATAATTCCCATCATTGTCAGTGGAAGATAAACAATATTACTAGCCCTGCATTTTATAATTGCACATCTTAGTTCTTGTTTTGTATGTGTACTTATCCTACAATGCAACATGAATGAAACAGTTGTAACATTAAACTAGTTTAAGATTTATCACAATCCAGTGTTTATTTTCATACAAACTCTTAGGTTATAGAAACCTGAGTGCTAAAATCTTGGTAAGAAAACAGCAATATTTGCAGAAAAAGTTCCCAACTTTAAGTATGGCTGTTGTTGTTTTTCCCCCCCGTCTGCTAAGCAGATGGAAATTTTAAAAAATAAAGCTAAGACAAGTACCTCAAACATCCATCACAAAAGTAATTTGAAGATCATAGCATTGTATTCATGTCCACTGCTTGACTCCTGCTCTGAATAAAGTTATCACATATTCCCCAATGTGCCCTCAAAATCTGAAACATGGGTTCTCCTAAACTTCTGGAACAGATTTGGAGGGCTTGGAAAGGGGTGGGGAGAGAAGAGAGAGAAAGAGTCTGTAGCCATAGCAGAAGACCTTTCCACCAGAGGAGATGGTAAATCTGCCCTATAATTCTTCTTCTTGACAAGCAGCAATATTTCTAAGAAATAACATAGGAAAAAGCAACAATTTCTGGAATATCTTGCTCAGGTTTAAAATGGCCATGGAAGCAGAGGAAGGTTAGCAACAGGTAAGAGCAATAAGTTGAACAAAGTTTACAAATTCTGTTTTGACTTGTCTACCTAGTTCATAAACTACAAAGACTACAGTGGTATGAGAGAATTTCCAGGTCTGAACCATTTGATTGTCTTAAACATTTTAGCAGATTTTTTTATTCAAAAACTTGCAGCTTTTTGCCTAATACTCATGAAATAGTAGTTTTATAACCAAATGTTTTATTAATAATGCAATATCATTACTTCTGAATTAGATGACCACAGCACAAAAAGTAGAATGCTGCAGATACAGAAAATGTTTTGCTTCACCCAGCTTATAGTGGCTGTTATAAATCCAGCTAGTGTACATCAATTTTTCATAATCTTTTTAATATGTATTATCTTCATTGACAGTGTAACAGCAGCTCTACCGTGTGGGATAACATGATACTTGGTACAGGTTTCTCATATTTGGTCTTCTGATAAAACATTTCCAAAAACTGACTAAATGTAAGCCATTCCAAGCCATTTCAGTCCATCATCGAAATACAGATTCTTCTTGAAATGATAAAACATATAAATAATAATATAGCCCAAAAAGGAAAAAGAAAAAAGACAAATCAAAGGTTAAAGCCCAGTCTTCACCTTTAACTCACTTTAAATATGTGAAAGGGACAAGACACTATGTGAATTGGACAAAAGAACAGTCTCAGCTTTTAGTTTAGTTCAGTAACAAAACATGAATTCTATTTTCACAACTCTGAGAAGTAACCTTTAAACTGTTCCAACTGCCAAACACATTAAAAAAAAAACTATTTATTATACTATAGTAGCCACTGTTAGAAAACCACAATAGCTACCCTTTAATGAGGACCTCAGAAGGCCTCTGTAGGACATCAAAAGTTAAGGATAAACTCATCAGATTATATTTCTATTGGTGGATGCTTAGCTTAAAAATATTCAATATACCTCTGACAAGATATTTTTATCTTTTTAAAAGGACATGTGATAAAGATTTTTTGTTTTTCTAAATGAAGAACAGTCTGTCATCTTAAACATACACAATATTATGCAAGACTCTCGTTTTACTTTAGACTGGAAAAATTTGCCAGGGACAAAGTCAACACAAAGTAACAAACAGCAAAAGGTAGCAAGAAAGAGAAACAGATAAGTGCAGCTCTGGTCAAATTCATAGCAGTTCTTTACGTCAGTTAACGGCTCATTTACACTGTATTTCTAATCAGTAACATGCAAGCCCAAAGAAGCATTTGATCACTACACAAGGTAATAAAATTTGATTAAGTTTATCAGGCAACTGCTAAAATATGAAAATTTGCAGATGTAACAAATTAGCTTTATCTGAACTTTAACAGGACAAAATTAAATCATTCCATTGGTTAAAAAACCCTACATTCAGTTTTACCAAACAAAATTTCACATGAAAAGTATTATGTGATTCCAAAGTTTCTGGAGTAGAAATGGAGTGATCTGAAATGTCAAAGACCCCATTATTTTGAAAAAAAAATGAAAGTACACGTCGAAAATTTCTAATTCCACATGTGAACAACAAAATACTGCATATCTACCAACAACTGCATTGGGTAGGTCGTTATGAAAGGCTAGCTGCCAAGATGTTGGAAATGGCTCCTTGCCTCTGTTCCCTTTGAGGAATATACAATCATTTAAAATCCAATCACGTGAAGCACTTATCATGCTGTGATATACTCCAATATTCAATCTTTAAAATAGGTTTTTAAAGTTGCTATCTTCCCCAACGTTTTCCTCTCAATGTGTAGTATAAAGAGTCGCTTCAGAACAGCAAGGAGAAATGGAAGGGGGAGGGGTCACAGCCTCCGGACTAGGATCTTTTAGACATCTGTTTGTTTTTTTTAAATTAAGGAGTTCTAAGGCCACCTGTGTTTCTCAGTGCTGAAAGTTGAAGTCACAGGGCCCCTTTCCCCGCCACGAGAGAACATGTTCAAGAATTCAGATGTTTCAATGTCTCCTTTTGGCACCAAGGACCATTGTTTTTAAAGGACACATTCCTCCATATTCTTAGTTCTTGTTGCTTTGTTCACTCACTGCCACAGGTGGGGTTTCAACATTCACAGCTATGACTATGTTCTCCCCATCCTCTGTTTTGATCCGTTTCAATTCTTGCTGTTCAGACTGATCTCCGTTCTGACGCTTCGTTGGAAGAGAGGCTGATGCAGACGCGTGGGTTGCTAACATGTGTAATGGACTTGCAGCAGCTGGAAAAGAGTTGAAGGGAAGGGAAAGAATATATTAAACCCAGGCAAGTCACCAGCGACCCTCACTCTGCAACCAAATGTTGCATTACATAAAATATTTAAGTCTCAGATTAAGATTTGCCCTAAGCTCTTCTAGTTTTCTGAGAATACTTGCAGCATCTTAACTTACCTTAAAGTTGTGGCTAAAGATGAAGACAGCACTTAGTCATATGAGAAACTAAAAGCAATAACAGATGATTGGTAAATTTGCAAAGATAACTTGTATTGCTTTTCTATACCCCAAGCTACCAAAGGAATAGTTTGTGTGGCCATGTTCAAGAGACTGTACCTATACAGATACAATCATTTAGAGACTTCCAGAAGACAAAACAATCTTGCTCATATGCAGCATTTTCCTATGCCCTAAGGGCACATTTTCACACTCAGTTTTGGTGGTGTATGCTGAAAATTGAAGTCTTAGAAGATGATGAAAGCAAATCATATGTTCTCGTGTATTTTTCATTTATATACTGCCAAAATCATATGACTCCTGACTGTTTCCAATCTTAAAAACAACACTTTTTCCTAGCAAAAGCATTCAGGCTTTCCTTAATGAAAATATTTAGCACAAATCTTCCAATGTCTACTCTAATGCTTTAGGACCAGATACAACAGTTCCTTGGTTATACTCCTATTGAGAAAATAGCTCAATAGCTTGTCTGATGCAAGGAAGGAACAATCTGGAGTACTGTAGTAGCTTAAAAGAGCAGAAGCTTAGTTGAATGTGAATCTCAGCAGAAATAACTGAGGTGGTGTAATGTGATACCAGGAAAGCCACTTTGGTGTGGTAGTTAAGACACCAGGCTAGAAACCAGGAGACCGTGAGTTCTAGTCCCACCTGAAACACAAAGCCAGCTGGGTGACCTCAGGCCAGTCACTCTCAGTCCTAGGAAGGAGGCAATAGCAAACCACTTCTGAAAAATCTTGCCAAGAAAACTGTAGGGACTTGCCCAGGCAGTCACCAGGAGTCAACACTGACGTGAAGGTGCACACACACACACACACACACACACACACACAAATTGTGACAGGAATATAACACTCAGAATTAACAGCTGAAATACAATTATGGAAAAAGTAAAATAAAAGTGAAAGCAACAGGTCAGCTGATTGCCACAGAAGCCATCAGCTCTGGGTAAGAAGCCACTGGGCTTGGTTACTCAGAAATCTCACTCGTGGGTATCATCAATTGTATGGAAATTTTAAAATTCGTATGATTTTTTTTCAATTTAAGTCCAGAAATTATGTGTCACAGCAGTCTGCATATCTGTGCTCTTGCAATCTCCAATGCATTTTTTAATGGAATCTAACAAATTGTATGTTCTGGAAAATGATTCTGGAAAAATATGTTACTGTATATCACTCTGAGTTCTAGAAAACTGAAGCAGTTATGATTATTTGGCAGACAACTCTAATAAAAGGAAAACATAGCCTTGACAAAAGGAAAAAAGAATTCACTTTTATTAATGTGAGATTCTTCTGATCATACCTTGTCCTCTTCATCTGAAAAATACATCTGGGGAGAAGTACTGATAATGAGAACCAAAGGATTCGTTATCAGACTCCTCAGAAGAATGTGAAAGAATAGGCTTGGGTGTGGCCCTGCAGTGTTCCTTTCCCTTTGATTTTGGGCAGGGAGGGGTGTGGAGGTATAAAAAGGGAGGGAGAAAAAGGGGAAGGTAAATCCTTTTATTTTAAAGCTTTTCTCTCATGTTATGTAATAACTGATCACTAAGATCAGATTTTGTAACAGTCTGTTAGTGTAGGAAATAAGAGATTATAATATTTTGGGGAGAAACTGGACCAGAGAAATCATAAAAGACTTTTAAAAACTGTTTACTAACTTTTTTTGTTCAGTTATTTGGGGGTAATAAGAACTGTATCCAGTATTCTTTTTTGGCATCTCATGGCTTCCAAGAGGGATAATTTCCATACCCACAACATAAATCAGTTAAAAAGTTCAGCAGGATATTGTGATGCTCCAGACATGGACCCTATCTTCTTTTTGACAGTGCATGCCTCTGCCAGAAGTAGAGAAAGCCTCGTTTCTTTGCAGGAGTTGCTTCATTGAAGGATTTTCCAGACTATAAATCAACCGAAACTACATCTGATTATTCTCACAATATGTTTAATCATGTGCTAAGATGAATCACAGCAGAAAATCCCATGGGGGTTTCTAATAAATTGTTTCTTGTGTCCTACCACTTTGACCTGTGGTTCTTTTTTCTTTTCTTTCCAGATTTTTTTCAAAGGATTCTTTCTTGCTACTGCAATGAGGAGCAATCAAAGAAAAACAGAAGAGAAAACAGTAGACTTTTTCTTTTAGGAGCTCAGAAGGATTTATAAGTAAGAGGAAAAAAGAAAACAAAGAATTTTCCTTGAAAACATTTTATTTTTCTTTAAGTAACAGAAAGCAGCCTGAAAGGGGAAAAGAGCACCAAAAAAGATGTAACATGCTTTCTTTTGGCATAGATCATGCATATGCCCACATTCTTTGCAGAAAAGGATAGTTAAAGATCTATTGTTTTCAAGGAAAGTTTTCCAATAATATAGAACTTATTACTTATCTCTTTAAGTACTCATCTGGGAATTCACAACTATGAGTTCTACACCTGCACAATGCCCTAGACAGAATATTCCAGAGCCAAGCTTTTTGGGTGATGCATATGCTCTCAGGAATGGTTTTTGCTATCTTGTTATAGTTCTAAAGGCCCATACAGCAGCCATTGGGATAGAATAAATATCTAACATATTGGAGATTCACAAATCACCATTCAAAAAAGCACAATTAAAGATAAGTAGCTCTTCATTATGGTCTTGAGGAGTCACACATATGGACGGCCAATAAGCTAGGTATTGTTACATGTAGAGGGAAGAGAGAACAGCTGGTCAAGAAGTGATGAAAGGTAACACCATCCTACTGTGGAATGTTTCCTCCCTAAATCAAAAGATACATTTAGAGTGTCTTATGAGGATGAATGTCTCTTATCACATAGCAATCCTTTGATAAAATTCTCTTCCAAAATAGTTGCTATCAAGGTGACCATTCTAATAAAATGCCTTCAAAGAGAAAATGAGTAAGTCTGTTTTAATTTGCAAACTCATAGCAAAGACATAATTAATTTCAAATATTCTGAATACAGTCTGCACTTCTTTCTAAGGTAAATTCTCACTTGAGTCAAATTCAACTCCTGATGACTATATGGACAAATTCATGCTAGCTATTTGGCAATAATAAAAAACCGGGATGCTTAGTGATTTCCCATCCAATTTTAGGAGGAAAGACACACAAGATGTCACATTAGCGTGTATCTAGAAATATTAAATGGGGAAGATAAGTAAATACAAAGTTTACTAGCTTACACTGCAAATACTAGAGATAAGATCCATGCTGCTACAATTCTAGTTGACGTTGGATATACAGTACTGTGCAAAAGTTTTAGGCAGGTGTGAAAAAATGCTGTAAAGTAAGAATGCTTTCAAAAATA